CAATATATTTTCTTTGATTACCCTTATCCTGTATAAGGGGAAAATGTGTGCTAAATAAATAAAGAAAATAAGTAATAACAAAAATACATGAAAACTGCAAATGCTGTAAAATGGTAAAAAATATGAAGAATTTGGAAATTTGTATCTTTAATGGCCGCTTTCACCCTTTTTCTGTCAAGTATATAATAGACTGTTAAAATAAAGATTTCTTGTTTACTACGTATGTCAAAAAATAATGATTAACAATCTGTTAATTGCTTTGTTAAGCCCAAACCCGGCCAGTTATCCAAGATAACAGTGTGTTAATCAAGATTTTGTATTTATGTATATTCCAGCGAATTCCATCTTCTGAAATTAGTTTCAATGACTGAATTAAAATAATTTATAAATAAGAAGGATTTGAATAGATTTTGTTTTAATTTATAGTTCCCAATTTTTTTACGTATGTTCCTAGATAATTCTTTACCACGTTGTCCTATTTCTATTATTCTTTTTTTGTTAGAAAGGCGGTACCTCAGGAGTGGTTCCATATAAATTTGGTTAAGATTTGAAAATGGTATCCATGAGAAAATCGTCAAACTCTTAATTTTTATGTATATTCAACGATAATTCTTTAACAATTTGTCCGATTTTTAGGATTTTTTTTTTTTTTGTTACAAAGGTGTTACCTCGGGGGTAGTCCCATATACATTTGTTAAGATTTGATAACGGGTGAGATTTGAAAATCTCCAAACTCAATTTGTGATGGCATCTGCACGATTTCGAATCGGTTTTTTAAAATAACTTCTATATTATTTAAATTCATGCCTTCGTTTATTTTTTCTAAATTTTCAAATAATAATTTTTTATGTTATGACTCTTAACTAATATTAAGAAAAACAAAAATAAAAAATAATATAGAGATAGAAATTCGAAAAATCACAGGTAATTATAAATGTGAATGATTCTACCGATATTCCTTTTAAAAAATCATTAGTTACACTACTGCGAACATCCTGTGTAAAGTATGCAGTTCTGTATTAAAATTGCAGTGAATGGAGGATAAAATTGGACTCGTGCCGACGTAAATTTAGTCACTGTGGGCGTTTGGCAACCTGCGAATCTCCAAAGAAAAAGGAACAACATCGAGGAACTGAACAGATGGATAATTCTTTAATAATATCTCATCTTTCTGCCAGTGTGAAAAAGAAAAAGAAAATCACTTGTTATTGTTTGCTTTTGGGTTATTTTCGTCGAATTTATTGAAATTTATCTATAGATAATGATTTGTGCAAGATTTAGATTTCGTTTTATTTTCAAAATAAAACTTCCGAATTTCTATTTTAATATACAATAATATGGTGTTTAATTATATACTAAAATCAATAAGAATATAATACTGTCGTTGAAATATCTAATTGACATAATTTTTATAAGTATATACACTGTTCAACAGTATCTTTTTTTAAAAGAAAATCGTGCACGTAATGATAAATATGAGTACATTCAGTGTTTAGATATAATAGAGGATAATTTCACTCAGAATTATGTAATGTGATGCAGTACCGTACAATATATGATTGTACTATATTACTCATATTTCCGTTCTAGATGTATCGAACAATGCTCTGATTATGTATTAAATGTCAATCATAGTCGATAATCTTAAGACCTTTTTTACTTAATTACCTCATAATTACGATCACGTGTATAAGAACATCAATTCATTAATATTAGCTGATTTAATTTTTTTGAATCTGTATAATTGTTGGAAATGTAGGTATATCTCCATTGACAGATGTATACGATTAAATTTTAAAACTTAAAAGTATGTTAGAGAAAGATGAAATAATACAAAAAAACTAATTACTGATTCTGTGTAGAATAAAAATAATAATAATAATAATAATATTATATATTATATTATAATATTTGTCTCTACAACGAAGTAATTCAAAATAGTACTTATTTAAAAAATGGTGGATGAACATTAACATGAGTAATAATCTTTAAAAATGGCGGGAGCGCAAGTACTACTTAATATTACCTAAAGAGGTAACTACTCAAACGTAATAAGATAAAGATACACAAAATCAATTCTACATAAATGTTGTTTTTTAAAACAATAAATGCCAACCTGTTTCAGCACTAAGGCCATCATCAGGTCTAAAAGTGAAGAAATTTTTTCTGTTTTAGTAAAAATATACCAACCTATATAATAGGTATAATTGTCCGATATACAAATAAAACATCTCTAGGACTAATTATAGCTAAGGACTAAAATCACTTCCATACCAACGAAGATTTGATTAAAAAAAGTACGCAAAAAATAAGGACGACTTGAATATTAAGTTAAAAGAAAAATTGACAATAAAAATTCGTAAAAATGTGAATCATTAAACAGTGGCAGCCGGTAACTCAAATATAGGGGGTTCACAATGACAGAATATACTCGTAAGTATCAGATTAAGGTAAAAAGATTTCAGTGTTTTAGATAAATATACAGTATATCTCACTAAGTTGGAACCATGTGGAAAACTATTTTGTTATTAGTTTTGCGAAAAAATTCATTCTTGATAAAAAAGTTTTGCATGGTCAAAAACTTAAAATGCATCAGATATCAATTTTTTTAAACCGTATATGAAGTTTGCCAAAAAATATGATTTTTGCTGGAGTAAAGTACTTTTATTTTTGACAAACCTCGTATACGATTGATAAAATTTGATATTCGATGGTTGTATTTTAGGTTTTAGACTATGCTCGACTCTTTATGAAGAATATGTTTTTTTCCTAATAGTAGTTATAAAAAAGTTAGTGAGACATATTGTACATATATTATTATAAACACTAAAAGTTTTTTTTATGATAGATAGCCAGTTAGCATTTGCCTCTAAACAACCGAAGATTTACGAGGGAAATGAGGTACTACCTAGTTACAAAAAACGTGTAGGGTTTTTAGGCTACAAAGAATCGCTGTAATACTATGAAGTTTGTGCCCCATATTTTGTCTTGGAAACCATAAAGGCTAAGCAATTGTGATTAAAAGACAGTAAGACAAAGTGAATATGGAGTTAGGTGACGATCAATGTAATGTCAACGAACAGAAGAACTTATCTTTACCAATTTTATTATTTCTTTAGTTAAACCTGTCATATAAATTAGTTATTTTTTTATTTGTACACAACAATTCATATAAAATGTTTTTCTTAGTGCCGAAACCGGTTGCCATTTATATAAGATTTATGTATTTTTATCTTATGATTTCTGCGACACATATAATGTCAATTTGGATACCTACATAGACCCGTATACTTATCAAATTATAGCTTACTTCTATTTCTATTGGAAACTATGTCAAAAATAGCAACCAATATGGTAAAAAACAAATTTGAAAAAATAGGAATCCAGATGGCCTCTAAAAAATCAGAAGTAGTAATTCGCAGCCAGAAGGAAACTGAATTCCATAGAAATAAAAATAGGAAATCTAACTCTGAGTAACCAAAATGATATAAAATACGAGTATATAGGAATAAGAAGGGAAAATCACTAGAATAACGTGCCATGTTCGACAAGCATGCTTGAAAGCGACGAAAAAACTGAAGAATATGTCCAGAATTATCCTTAACATCTCTCAAGAGATAATTTATCGTCATTCCTATGCAGTCTATCTGGAAAAGAGTATTGAAATACAAATGTTAAGATATGGTACATGCCCTACAATAACAACAACTATAATAATAATAATAATAATAATAATAATAATAATAATAATAATAATAATAATAATAATAATAATAATACTTCCACCTATATCTTTTAAAGTGGGGGAAGGGATGGATCTATTCCATAATGGAAAAGAAAACAATACGATAGTATGGGAAACAATTATGCAGCAGTAGGATGAGAGTAAACGCAATATGATTGATAGAATAAGACATTCAATAAAGATCTTACGGCATCGAATAAGAGACTTAGACTATTGTACTAACCAAGCCATATTAGAGCACGGTGTCTTTGGTTTCTACCTACATAAAATACAAAAAAAATGAAGGCACCTATTGGGCAAAGGTGAGAAAAGAAGCTATTCATAAGTCAAAAGATATTCGCAACAAAAAATATCATTAATTTGATATTACAGGAAGAAAAAGAAGGCAAAGAAATTAAATAAATAGAACTGGAAAATATGTAGGCAGGAAGCATCCAGCGAACATCAAAGATCCAATTGCCTCTTCCTGGCAAGAGGTGGAGTTATAATAGCTAGCCGACGCGTAAGTCCCTTACTGATCAGTACATGCGACATTGCTGAGGGTTTAAAAACTGCTGAATAACGGCATATCGCAGCTTGCAGTCATAATCATTGTGTACGATATATAGTGAGGTTATACCGTCTTTAGACAAAGGCGTTAAAGCGTAAAATCGGGAGTAACAAGTCCGTAGATGTTGAACTTGGTGCTCTGGTTGTAACGTCATAGCGCTCGGTAAAATATATCTGGTAAAAGTGAAGTAATGTCGATAATTAAACCTGGTGGTAAAAAATTTTACAAAATAGTCTTCCGTACCTCAGTTGTTTTAAAATAAGAATAGTAAATACAATAATAGGTCAGGCGCTAATACACAATATCAGTCTAGTAAAACCACAGAATAAAGATGAACCAGCAGGCGCACTCCGTGTTAAAATCTAAGTTTCCCGACAGCATCCTAAGCAAGATATTCGCCATATTCTCCGGATGCTCAGCGATTGAAGCGGATGAAACCTCACTTACTAAGATCAAAGGATTTCTTATCGGGTGCGCCTGCTGGGCCATCTTTATGCTGCGAGTAAAACTATCTAAAGGAATGCAATCTTGATAATTTTAGTTCAATCTACACCTTATTCTCAACGTTCTTGATTTATTTTTAGATTACTAAAAAAGATTTGTTCTGAATTAAAAATAAAAATGATAATAGTTAAATGAGACTTTATTAATATCTACTTAGTATTTTTATACAAAATCCCTAACTAAAAATCCTCTTTCTTTTTCAGATTTCCAGCGCCAGTCAACAACTCATAAACGAAGCCCAGCAGAAACAGCTCGAGTTACAACGTCTTCAGCAAGAACAACTTCTGCATCAGCAGCAGAAACTACAGGAACTCCAAAGTCAAATAACATCCCAATATGCAGCCGGTCCCCATCAAGGCCTCATGTTTCTACCGTTGTTTGAACAATTGCGTGGCTTGCAGCCGTCCGCAATGCAGCATGGTGTCGTCAAAACTTCAATGGGCAATCACGTAAGTATTTTTTTAATATTAATGCCAATTTTGTATAAGAGAGCATACCCGCTTGAGTGAACTGTGTATTTAAAATGGAACAACAATTCCTATTTACAAAAGTAAGCTAAATTGAATACGCGCATTATGTCACAGGAGTACTGGTGAAATTGCGCACAAAGTGCCTTTGCAGGTCCGTTTGAGACATTTCATTTACTTGTTTTTAAATCATGAGAAATTTAAATTTCTAAAACAGGCCTGCACAACTGAGATTTTCAAAGGGCCAGTTCAAAAAAACTATAGGTGTACGAGGGCCAACAACGGTTGTATTTTTTTTGCGGGGGGATCAATTTATAAAGCAGGTCGAGGTCTTCTATTGAGCTTTACTGAAAAATGTAGTTAGACGTATGCGAGCCAAATTGGTAAAGGAACAAAGGGATAAGAAAACGACAATGGCGGGCCGCAAGAGGCCCGCGGGCTGTATGTTGAGCAAGCCTGTTCTAAGGTGTCAATAAAACTTTGTGCTTAGATTACACACGTCATTTTAATATGTTGACTTTCACTTCAAAACGTCAAGTTATTTTTGTATATATCTGTTTGATAAAAACTACGTCCCAATAATAACTACTCAACTTCAATATTTTTCAACAGCGAGCTTAAAGGCGAAAAGTCTTGACGGTACTGAAAAACCTCAAATTTGCGTTGATGTTTAAAAGCGAAAAATACTACTCTGGATGTCGATTGTTTACAAAAATATATTTAACCGTACCAAAAAAATTTCTATTGATTAAAGTATTCATGAATACTCAAATATTTGGTGAACAGTTTTAAGACTATTACTACTCCTTATTTATTTGAATTATATTACTAAAATTAACTTATCTGGACATCTAGTTAGTTGTGTAGATGACAGCAATAATTTTTAATACAAAATATAAATTTATGACTAAATTATAAAAAACTCACAGTAAATTGTTAAAAAACCAAATGTATTCAATTTAGCCTAACCGTCGTTAATCAATCTACAAATTGCACTCCCCATATTGCAATATAGACACATGTGATTGTCCCAAAATAGAAAAGGTTCCTACCCTAAATTATTTAGGAGTCATTTTAGATAAGCACATCTGCTGCTGGTCAGACCACATCACTTTACAAGTAAACAATTAATAATGGTCTATAATTCACATTAACAGAATCTGTTATAAAATACTGTAATACTGCTTTGGAAGGTGCGTTTAAAACTACTAAAAAAATAATTTTAATAAAATATTAACTAATATTGAACTAAAAAATTATATGAACAGATACAAATATTTAATATTAAATTACTTTTTTATTTGTGCCACAATTAGAAAAATTTACAAAAATCGTAATTTTCAAAAATAAAGATGGGGTTTCGGTTATATTAAACATTTTAATCTATTTGTAATCATCCCCCATGTTTTATTAAATTCTGACTTCACCAAAAGATGAAAAAATCTTCCGAAACATATGTAGTGCTTGTGCTTAAATTGTAGAAAATAAAAACAGTATGATCGAATAAACCAAGGAACACTCATTTTTGAACCGCTGACGTAGATAAAATAATATTTTTACTCTTTTTCCAATTTTATGCCTCACTTGAAAGTTGTAAGACAGTTTTATATAGAGTGAAAGATTTTTTCAATTATAAGTTCCAAATACGCTTTCTGAATTCTAATCAAACAGTTCTAAATAGGATAAAACCGATTTTAGAATGTTTAGCATCTGTAATCCCAAATCAAATACGCGAACACGGATCATAACACTTGTCCCTATCTCATAATCGGGATTAAAAGTGGATGTCAATCGCCCCGAATTTTTGTATTTTACTTTATATTCTATGACGTGTTTCTTTGTATTTTCAGATGCTTCCTCCTCACCAAGTTACGAACTGGCTCTCAGCGCAAGGGCACCTCCCCCAAATGCAGAACCTTACAGCTCCACCGCAAGAAAAACGATCTCCGCCTCCACAACCCACCCCATCCCCGCCACCTCCTCCTTCTGATCCAGACGCGCCCCTCAATCTCAGTAAACCTAAATCCTCAAGTTCGGGATCGGCGAGGTCAAGTCCGCAGAGTACCCCTACGGCGCCTCCCATGGATCAACCAGTGGCGGCGACGGCCCCAAAACTTCTTCCTTCGATGATTTCGAGGTTTTTACCCCCGTATGCGGGTTTGCCGCCTCAGTTTCCTATGGACCGAAATATGGGGAATAAGGACATGAGCAATCCTGATAAGCAGCCACATTTTCCTTTGCATATGTACATGCCGACGCCGCCGCATTTGGGAGGCCCAAAAGAGGAGTGTATTAAGGAGGAGAGGGATTATTTGCATCGTAAGTATTTGTATATGATAATAGAAAAATGTGAATACCGAAAAAATCTTTCTTTTTTTTTTTTTTTTTTTTTTCATTTGAAATGTAAACGATTTCCTCCTCTTTGGACCATGTATATGTTGTTAAGTTTCTTTTTAAATTCAGAATAGCTATTTTAATTTGACACTTTGTATAATATTAATTAATATCATTTTAATAATACCAAATTTATATTTTTGGAAGTTATGTGCTGTAAGATTTTAAAATTAAATGGATTTAGTCTATAATAGCAAAAATATTAAATAATTAAATTAGTTCTTAAATGAATGCAACGTAACACTTATTATTTGTTCCTTTAGAGAGCGCTGAAATAAAAAGTAACATAATAACAAATCATATATGCTTCGGCAAACAATAATAATAGCCATCTCTTTTCCGTGCAAGTTCAGTCGGCTTCTGGGGGTTAAAATTCACTCATACTTAGTACTTTAAATTGTATTTTGCATTTTCTATGCATCCTTCAAGATATTTTTGGTACCTCACCCTGTATATAAAAATTTATATGAATCTTTTAAATTAAATACGTTATTATTTTTTTTTGAAAATCTGTGTTAAAATCCTTATAAGTTTGTTCTACATCGATTTCCACTAGCTGAATATATAACTCAAACCCATACGTAAATAATTTCAGCACTTGAAACTTTGAATAATAATTCACTCTTTGATCTCAATAACGCTTTTATTTTTTTATTGTTATCTGCGTTATCTGCCATCTAGTTGAATAATATACAGCTTGAGCTTCTGCCAAAACTACAATTAATATTTTTGAATAGAGATGATATATTTCTGCTTTTATTGATTTGTTAAGTGACGTTATATAAATTTTGTTGATAGTTTTGTAGATTTATCCCTTTTGTTGTTAATAAAACTGAGCATAAATCATTCAATTCCATTATTAAACTAAGAAAATTGAAATTATTTACTGATCAGTTGACTATGCGCATTTGACATATTGATTTAATGGTTTCTACTCGATTATTGTTTAGAAAATGTATAATTTAAGACATCATTTTACTGCTTATTTGATTTTAATAGGTCGAACCTATTATAAAACAATCACTAATTCAATAGTTTCGAATACAGGAATTTCGCTATAACACGATCCCTCTCTCAATAAAATTGGCCCAACTAACAAAACTTTATACCTTACCCTATTATCGAAAAATGTATTAAAAACTGAATATATCTAAAAATAACTTTGAACAGAATAAATAGTTATTTATGCAACAAGTACAAAAAGTAAGTGTTTATTGCACGCGAGTTGAGTGCAATAAACACTTTTTGCACGAGTTGCATACAATATTTTTTCTACGTTCATGCAAATACCAAAAAATGTTTTATAGAACTGCAGTTGTATTATTCAAATCATATGGTAGTCGTGATCGTGTACCTTTGTTTGAGGCATTTATTTACGTTTGTGTTCATAATTTGTAATGACATTTTTTAGAAAATACATTTTTATTACTTTATTTATTAAATGATTGAAAATAATATAAAATATGCAATTGTTTTTAAAACGTAACACAGAAAATGAAAATGTACTAAATATTTGGCGATGATTTGAATATTTATGTTTGTCATGATCATAAAACGCTGTAGTAAAATGACAGATGAGTCCAATAAAAATTTTATTGCACTAGTGCAATAAAGAACCAGTTTTTTCACTAAATATAGTTCAATAAAGTTTTGTTTTTTGCATGAACGTAGAAAAAATGTTTTTAAAAATAATTTGCTTTGATGACAAATTCACACATTTCATATTTTTAGTGGTTTACTGAGACAAAACTCGCATAAACTAAATTTTAATAACAAATAATTTTTTTCAGTATGGAATACACCGGATCAAAATTTCAAAATGGAAGCCGACAATTCCGATAAAGCAAAAATCATCCGACAACAAGCAAAACGTGATAACGATAATAAACCCCATATCAAGCGTCCCATGAACGCATTCATGGTATGGGCGAAGGACGAAAGAAGAAAAATTCTTAAAGCCTGTCCCGATATGCATAATTCGAACATTTCGAAGATATTGGGAGCCCGGTGGAAGGCCATGTCGAATTCCGAGAAGCAGCCTTACTATGAGGAGCAGAGTAGGTTGTCCAAGTTGCATATGGAGAAACATCCTGATTACAGGTATCGACCGAGGCCGAAAAGAACCTGTATCGTTGATGGTAAGATTATTATTTCTTCTTTTTAATTAGATTTACATACTCATTGATTTTATTAAAAGAGCCTTCCAAAATGAGAAAAAATATAATTCCATTTATTTGTTGTCTAATGGTCCATTGTTTTAATTTTGTTGCTTTACTATAGTGTTAAAAAATTACCAACCAGTTTTTAACTGATCAGTTGAAATTCATTTCTTAAATTGCACCTGTCTTATTTTTGGACGGCTGCTCACTAATCCTCAAGACAATAAGAAAAACTCAAATCACGCCACTTCTAAGTGTTTATTTATCACTTTATACCATAGTTAGTTTTCAAAATTTTCCATCTCACTCTGCTCGAACGAATGTTTAAGTAAGGGAGAAGAAGAGCGAAAATTATTTTATAGTTTTAAAGTGATTGTGATATCATTCAACGACGGCCATGACATATTTTAACCAATAGCTCATTTCATCACAGTTTATTTTCATTTAGCTAACAGTTTATAACATGGGTCTTATTATTTTATTCTTTTCAGGCAAGAAAATGCGCATATCTGAGTACAAAATGTTGATGAGGCAACGTCGCCAAGAAATGCGGCAACTGTGGTGTCGAGATTCGACAGATATGAACTTTGGTATGCCTAATCCAGAAATGACCTCACCCGCCTCAACCTCAGGAAGACCTTCAGTATCACCACCAATGGGCATGCTTAATGGCGCAGGTAGGTAAAAATAATTTCAAAAATTTCTCATACAATTTTTCCAAAAAATTTCTTTTGTATTGCATAATGATTACTGTAATAAGCATAATACGCACGAATTGAAAAGTTTTGCAATCCCTGGTACGTATAAAAGTTACGGGTGGCACAAAATTGATCGAAAAACATTTGATCGAATTGGAAATTTGATTAAAAATACATTTTATCGAATGGAATTTGATCGAAAATACATTTGGTCGAATAACATTAGATCGAAAAGACAATAGATCGAAAATTCATTAGATCGAAAGGACAATATATTGAAAATCATCATTAAAAATAGTAAAATATTAAAAAATCAAACGATACCATTTAACCGTCCGTCTAATCCCTACTACCAGGGAAACAAAACTAAGCGGCTATTAAAATTAGGTACTAATGGGAAATTTTTCAATAATCTCAAATCTCAAAAATACCTCGTTTAACAAATTTTATCCTTACAATACTGTTAATTTAAAAATAATTATTTTAGAGCTAAACGGTTATTTATCTTCATTTGGATTTAAAAAATGTGATTAATTCGCACAAAATATGTATTTCAATAAGGTCGAGTTGTCTCCCGATGGGACATTTTAGGTAAATTATTTTAAGATTTTTTTATATAAAAAATTTAATTAATGTATCTAACCTCTGCGACCTGGAGCCGTCGCGGGTTTGCCTCGTAAAAAAATATAGAAAAATAAGAAAAATTAAAACAAAAATTTTAATTAAGTTACTTAACCTGTACGGCCTGGAGCCCTCGAGGGTTGATTCGCAAAAAAATTATACAAAAACTTGAATTTCAAGTTATCCATTCAAAGACCAACGATGCCAATACATAGGAAGTCCCATAGACATCCCATGAACATCCCAATAACGTCTTAGACTCGGACCGAAAACTAAATGTTTTGTCGAAATTGGACCAAAATAGGACGTCACTGTTTTTTCCTAGCTTTTTCAAGGGATTTAACCGTAACTAAGACAAGACAAACCTAATAAAGTCAGACAATTACCGATTACGGACAAACGAAAACCCCTTAATTATACCCATATGGCAAGGAGTGAGGGCTGCTATAATTGCGAAATCAAAATATTCAAACAACACGGCATATTTTAGGAGAAGATGCTCGTTTTTGCCAGGGTGAACCTCTACTTTAGGCGAAACATTGTACTTTGTACCTGTAATTTATGTTGATGTGCATATTTTAAATTTTAAAAAAGGTGAATAAATATTATTAATAATAATTAATAAGACGTCCTAACCTAATGTTTACGGCAATCGAATGTCCAGTGGACGTCCGATTTAGGTCCCGGACCAACAAGAGTAAACCAAGACTTCTATGGGACATCCTGTGCTATCTGCGAATAAATTAGGAGGTCAAAATCTTCTACATATTTATATCAAATTCAGCAGATTTTACCCAAACTCATTTGCCATAATAAAGTTTGTGAGTAATTCAGTTTTTAATTACATTAAATTATTTGATAATAGTCATTAACATTCTTAGATGTATATCTACAGAACGTTTGAAGGATCTTTATAAGGTAAATAAATCTACATAATAATTGTTTTGACACACACTTTTTATTAAACATTTTTAGAACATCGCGGGTTTGCCTAGTAAAAAAATATAGAAAAATAAGAAAAATTAAAACAAAAATTTTAACTAAGTTACTTAACCTGTACGGCCTGGAGCCCTCGAGGGTTGATTCGCAAAAAAATTATACAAAAAAGGGAAAAATAAAAACTTACCCAATTTACCTAACCTGCGCTATTTAAATTTTAACTGATTGCTCTCGCGTGTGTTAGGTTAGTTGGTTTAGTTTTTTTTATTATAAAAAATTTAATTAATTTACCTAATCTGTGCGGCCTGGATCCAACGCGGTTATCCTTACAAAAAAAATTATAGAAAAATAAGAAAACTGAAAACAAAAACTTTAACTAATTTAGCTAACCTGTGCGGCCTGGAGCCCTCGAGGGTGGCTTTGCAAAAAAAATATACAAGAAAGGGAAAAAAAAGAAAACCTAACCTATTTACTTAACCTGTATGGCCTGGAGGCAGTTTTAGGTAAGTTAGTTAAATTTTTAAAAACCTAACTAACTTACCTAAGCTCTGTCAGAACAATCAGTTAAATTGCCCCAGGCCGCACAGGTTAGGTAATAGGGTGCTTCATTTTCAGGCAATATTTTTTTTCTCTGTGCTACAAGAAAATCTGAAACTTTATAAAAAATAAAAAATTATGCAGCCGGGTAAAAGGTTCTAAATGCAATAGCGACTTAGCTCATTTAAAAATTCGATTTCCGATTTAAATAACATAGGAAAAAATTTTTTTTGTTATCAATTTGATTTTTCGATATTAAAAAAATTGTTTTAGGAAAAACCCGTGTATAGCATTTGTAGGGCATAAAATCCACTAAAATAAGTTTTTTGAGTGAATCCCCTCCCTAATAAAGGAAAAAACAGGTCCAAGAATGACGTTATGCTTGGTAAGAAGCAAAATCAAAGTTAGAGTGTTGAAATTAATTTTCTATCTTTGCCGTTTTTCAATGCCTGTTGCGATATTAGCCAAAAGATTTGTTGTTTTCCAGAGGGAAACGGTAGCACGCATTATTGTGTGACACATGGCTTAGATACTTCCTTGTTTTCATTTATTGTAGAACTTAATAATATGTGCCCTTTTAGTAATTATAAATAATGTATTTTTCTTTTTTATTACAGGTCCCAGTTCAGAGGCCAGTTACTATTATCCCCACGATAATACCTCACCGGAAGCCATGAACTTCTCACAGGACAACAGTATGGCTTACAATTCGAGTCCGAGGCATGACAACGACTGAGCCTGGCTGACCAGGGAAAAGGCATTCCCTCATTGGTACTAAGGTTCGCTGAAGATAAAAGAATGTTCAAGTGTAAGTGTCCCTTCTCGGGGGCGTTTGTGAGCTGAAAACAAAAACCTTGTAGGTTTATTAAATTAAATTGTGTACATTTTGATCCTGGTTTATAAAGAGACACTAAGAGGCAAGATTCGATTGTGCCATGTGAGATGAACAGAAAAATACCAAAAGACTAATATTCTTACTTAAAAAAAATTGGTGTTGTACTTGTATTGTTATGTAGATATATTTAAGAATTTAAAGTTATTTATTTATATCTAGTTATTCTTTTTTTTTGTTTTTATTTTGTAAATTCGTGTAGAATTTTATTAGTTAGTTTTTCGCATTATATTGCATTGCCGATGAGCTTTTTGTTGACTTCAGTTATTTGCTGTTTCAGTTTGAGTCTCACTGTTAATTTGTTCCTCCAATCATTTTTAATTGAAAAAAAAATCAATACAGTTTCTGATTTGAGCTCGCAACTTGTACAGCAGTTATTGAACTATTCCTATTTCAAAGTGTCTCTGAAGAGTTGATGAACAAAATTATTATACTTAAATATTCTTCAATCCGTGCTCATACAATTTTTATTCTCAATAGAGAAATATTTAAAAAATCAACAAAATATTTTGATGAAAAAAATCAAGACAAACAAGTACATCGGTGTATAAGGATATTAAAAAAAAAAAAACAGAATAGCGCTTTTGGCCTTACAAAACCTTCATCACAGCCTTCATTCAGTAGATACCTTCACAAAAAATATTGAATAAAGTAAACATTTAGAGAGAATTAATAAATGATTTGTAATAAAATATTCTTTGAATTTTATCCTGTATCTACCCATATAGCACATGGACTTTTTATGGACGTCTGAAAAACGTCCTACAGGGACATGAAGGACGTCCTCTTCTGGTATTGGGACGTAAATCTGGCGTCCAATAGACGTTCTAATGTCCCGTATCCGTCCATCATCGGGAGATCCCAAAAGGACGTCATAAGGACCTCCTAGGGACGTAAATCAGACGACCGAGGAACGATATTTGACTATATTCCATAAATAATAAAAATGTTAACAATAACAACTTTTGTCCTGAAAAGGTTGGCTAAAGTTAAACATTTTCAGTTTACAAAAAAAACGGAAATTAATTAAATTAAATAAACAAACAGTGCTAGTAAAATGAAACCTTTGGTTCTGCTTATAGCTTGTGTCGATATAACTGAGTTTTACAATTTTGCCAAAATTAGGTTTGTTCCAATACCAGTACTCACTTTCCGCCATTGAGGTCTTTTCTTTCCACCAGCGCTACCGCCAACACATTTTATAACCACTTTACCACCAATCTCAAAAAAAGAACAAATCGCACTATATAACCTTCTTTTCTTCTTCATTACTCTAACTCACGTATATAAGTTAATTATATAATGCCGAAAATGTTAGCTGTTGTTCATTTGAAATTAAATGATAGGCTAGGTTTTCTGTCCTTCTTCTCTTTCAAAAGCAAAACGTTGAATTTCAAGTTATCCATTCAAAGACCAACGATGCCAATACATAGGAAGTCCCATAGACGTCCCATGAACATCCCAATAACGTCTTAGACTCGGACCGAAAACTAAATGTTTTGTCGAAACTGGACCAAAATAGGACGTCACTGTTTTTTTCCTAGCTTTTTCAAGGGACTTAACCGTAATTAAGACAAGACAAACCTAATAAATTCAGACAATTACCGATTACGGGCACACGAAAACCCCCCTAATTATGCCCTTATGGCAAGGAGTGAGGGCTGCTATATTTGCGAAATCAAAATATTCAAACAACACGGCATATTTTAGGAGAAGATGCTCGTTTTTGCCAGGGTGAACCTCTACTTTAGGCGAAACATTGTACTTTGTACCTGTAATTTATGTTGATGTGTATATTTTAAATTTTAAAAAAGGTGAATAAATATTATTAATAATAATTAATAGGACGTCCTAACCTAATGTTTACGGCAATCGAATGTCCAGTGGACGTCCGATTTAGGTCCCGGACTAACAAGAGTAAACCAAGACTTCTATGAGACATCCTGTGCTATCTGCGTATAAATTAGGAGGTCAAAATCTACTACATATTTATATCAAATTCAGCAGATTTTACCCAAACTCATTTGCCATAATAAAGTTTGTGAGTACTTCAGTTTTTAATTGCATTAAATTATTTAATAATAGTCATTAACATTCTTAGATGTATATCTACAGAGCGTTTGAAGGATCTTTATAAGGTAAATAAATCTACTTAATAATTGTTTTGACACACACTTTTTATTAAACATTTTTAGAACATTATCTCTTCAGAGATGTTAGGTTGTTGTTTTTTTAAATTTTGAAGCTCTCATTAAAAACTGTTCCAATGTTAAAAGATAAAAAAAATGGTGAGACCCATCTTTCTTCGACATTGTTATATACCCAACTATTTCCAAACGGCTTTTCCAAAAAAACCTTCTGAAATAAAAAGCAGTATTCGTTTTGTTGACATAAAAATTTAAACTTCTAGTCTTCTGATTATAAACAAAAATCATGTAAAGAACTTAGCTTTATTAGATTAATAAAATTGTATTATTTTTTAAGTAACGTCTTATGGTACAAAGAATTTAATAATGAGACGACTAGAAAAACAAAACTGTCTTTGGAAAAACTCGGATGTGCCACTGGTCATGGAATTTTCATATTTCCGATTTTAATTCATCAAATAAATACCAGCAATAATGGTATTTGTTCCAGTCCACAGTTCCATGTACAGAGTGTGCGAAGTCCTTGCCGAAATTCAAGTGCAATGTAAAATTTTAATTTTTATTTCCAAACTGTTGATGTTTATATATTTTAACGTAAGAGCCAGTACTTTAAGTAATATTATTTATTTTCAACAGTTTTCTGTCTTTGTTCTAGAAATATGTACAGCCAGACTCGAAATATTCATCATGCAGAATATTTTCAAAAATTCTAAAATTCAGAATAACCACACAATATTTTATGAATTATTTATGTATTATCAAAAAAGTTGGATAATATTCGACTTTTAAAAAAAATATATTCGTAGTTGGATGACATTTATTTCTGAAAATATTCTGGGATTCCCGTACATTATGGTTAGATATATACACATGTTATGTACTTAGATATAAAAAAGTTATTTAGGTATCGAAATATACACACGCCTATTACTACTATATCTTTTTCCTTTTCGAAAATCAGTCTCGTACTAAAGTAAAAAATATTTTTTAAAAAATATATGCAGGAAATACTTTATTTATAAAACAAATTTAACAAATATTGTTAGACTAACGGATTTGTTTAAATTTATTAAAAATACTTATTTTAAACAAAAATAATATAAGAACTTTGAAACAGATCCAATCGCTTACGAAGGCTTTTTGACAATGATTTAAAAAAAGAGCAACTTCTTTATGCCAAGCCATTTTTCAGATTTGTATTTGTACCACTGTGTTTCATCCATAGTTATGAATTCATTCGGAAATCTATTTGAATTATGCTAAAAAGCATCAAATTTTGTTGTGAAGTTCTTACAAGAATGCCATTTTGGTCGGAAAAACTAATAGCTTTTTGATAACCAAATAATTAAACTTTGTATTCACGCCCATAGCTTTATCAAGAAATACAAATTTTTATCATATCATGTATTTTATTAATTGCTTTTTCAATACCTTTGTTGGGGGCCTTGGTGGCACTCACAATGAAAGTAATTTTTAATCATTCCATACGATAATTAGTTTGACAAAACCCTAATTCTATATTATATTCAAACTTTTATGTTTTTGTTGCAATAACTCTTGACAAAACAATCGGAATTGTGGCTTTCGAAAACTGTCGAAATAATTGCTAATTTATCTAAAATCTTATACTATTTAAAAATCAACAATTGAGATATCTGAGCAACAATTGAGATATCTGAGCAACAATGAGATATCTTCGCATCCTCGTCATCAAGTCATCATAACAATTGAAAATGACAACCGTTAGATCAGCATACATAAAAATTATGTAGTTCAAAGTTCTTATTTATGATTAAAAATTTAAACAAACTCTGTGGTAAACTTCTATCGTACTTAAGCTATTTTACGTAGCACCAAATTTTAAGAAACTATTAAAATCCGTACTTACTAAAAGATCTACTTACAAAAAAATTATTTTTTTGTTGACTTGTGATACCTAATTTATTATTTTTTAGCAAAAAAAGCAAGTATAAAAAATAGTGTTTATTTTCTTCGGAATTTTTAACCTAAAAAAATTGTAGATAGAAGTTCATACATTTCTGGTAAATACTGTATAAATACACTACATATTTTTCATGACGTACTCAAAATTTTTGTTGTTGCTAGAAAAAAATTAACGGTTTTTTAGATGATCAATTTAAATATTAAGAGATGTAAAATATATACAGTAAAAATGCCATTGTACTAAAAATATATAGAAGTATGGCAAATTTTGTTTACAAAGTCTAATACTTTTTGAAAACAAATTAAAATTATTCCGTTATTTGTATTTTTTAGAGAGATTTTTGGTGTGATGTAAAAAATGCACAAATATGCCTGTGGAATATTTAGCACTGTTAATGATACTGACAGTGGGATATTGGTTTTCAGAGTAAAATTCCAAACCACTGAAATTCTCTCATTCTTCTATGCTATAATTTGCTATCTATATTCAGAAAATGTCCAGTTATCTTTCATTATTGCCCGTATTTTTTATTCTAAAATAAAAATAATATTCTCCAGCATTTTATATTTATTCATTATTTGAATATTTTTGCAAATTATCTATATCTTTTGCCGTACTTTTGTAAATCCCATATAAATCTTTTTGTAAATGGGTTTTTTTTTGTAAACAAACATTCTCTATATTGATTATTCCATAATACTTTAGACGGCTAGTGATGAATGTATGTAAAACCCAATATCAATGTAAAAGTTAATGTTAAGGTTATATCCAAAAAGCGGCCACAACCTGGAATATATTATTATTAGAAACTAGGCTCATTGTTCTTTCCTGTGCCAAATTAAAATAAAGTATATAAAATGTAGTACTTTGTTGTTTTATTTGAATCCAATTAGTTAAATTACTCTTAAGGGAGGTTCTCACATTCCGAAACAAGACTCTGACAAAGAACCACTTACTTTCATAAGCAAACGAAATGCTTCTAAGAGAGTGGGTAGGGATTAGCTACCTGCTTTTGATCCTCGATGAAGATGCATGCATATATAGGGGACAGTAGCGACAATAAACAATTTAAATGCACAAAATGTTTTTGCGAAGTGTTTTTTAAAGGTTAAAGAAAAGGAATAAAAGTTTGTTCCATTGAATTCTTAGAATGTAGTATTATAATGGCCTTAACTTTTTCAAGTACCCTATACAGGGATTTTAACTGATTGTGTGACGTAGTATATTTTATACTACGTAATGTTGTCAATATTGATTGGAATAATAAACGAACATAAATAAAGCATGGGCATTTGTTGCAAAAAAGTGAATCAACGGAGTATAGAACTTGAGACGAAACAAACGGAGTATAGAACTTGAGACGAAACAATCATTTACATATGTCACTAACAAGGAGCCAATCACACATTTTCAGTTTCAGCCAATATATCAACGACGAAAAACTACTAGACAGACTAATCAATTCGTTTATAATTAAGTCCTTATTTGTTGTAATCATTCAGATTGTGTTTATTATTACGCAGACTGAGCTGTCGCATCGGTTGCCGTATTAGATAGAATAAGACAGCTGCTAAAGGTGAGGATGGTTTGTGCGAGTACGTTTATCTGAGGAGCGTGCATGCGTTTTATAAATAAATCAGTATTTACGTCTACTACGCTTGCTTTACACTGTTGTTCCACTTTAAAATTAATTGCGCATTTTCCTGATAAACGATATACAACTATAATAGTTGTAACGAAAAAAAAATATATTAAACTGATAATTACTGGCAATAAAAATGCATGTGAATCGCTTATTTCAGAAACAACCTAAATCACTTTTTGTACATATTGGGTTTAACACATTGACATTGTAGTTTTGGAGTAACATATGTTTAACGCAGAAAGAATCTAATTCCTGTAAACATCCTCAGTTATT